TTGTATGCTACTGGGGCATAATGATTTCTGTTTCTGTAGGAAGCAAATACGACCATTGAGATTATTTGGCAGCTATTGCGAAAAGGGGCAAAAGTAATTCTTTTTATCTCATGTCTCACTAATCTAACATTGTGTAATCTATAAGCCTACACTTCTATTTAAAAGTTAAAAGAAATGTTAACGTTATTTTTTCTGTTATTCTCTTTTTTACTTTCTGTATTTATTATTTGATATATGAATTTCACTATCTCATTTTTTATTTAAATAATAATATATCTTATTAGTAAATTTTATACGTCAAATAATAAATATAAAAAGTGATAAAAAAATAAAAGAAAAGTAATACTAGCATTTTTTATCTCTGCTATCATTTTTGGAGATCAAAAACAAAAATTAGAGACCAAGTGGGAATGATTTCTGTCTCTCTCTTGAAGTATTCTATTTCCGGTTCTGGCAAAACTGCAGGCTAACACCCCACTGCTCAGCTGTTTTGTGTATAGATTTACTTGTCAAAACTGAAGAGAATATGAATATAAATTAGGTGAAATATATTTAATGATCTTAATCACTACGATCCTCAAATTCTATAATAATGTCAACCGTATGATTCCACCAACTACATTTTTTTTTAGATACCAACTACATTAACGTAAGCAGGAGAGTGATATACAATTTATGCACGTGTATACTATCCGGAGACGCAAGTATATTATATAGAATTCCTTTAAGAATATACATTGTAGAGATTAGTAAACATATATTCCGTTCTTTTCGTTGATTCGAGTTTAGAATTCGAGTTTTATTACAGTAAAAAGCTCTTCGAAATAGTCACATTTATTTACTTTTATTTTTATTTTTTACTACAGTAAAAAACTCTCACACAACATCACATCTCAACTCGATCGACTAATTAAATTCTCCCTTGGACGAGGTATTAGAGAGCAACTCTTACTCAAGAATTGGGTGGGGCGGCCACACATGTCAGCCGAATCCACCCTCTTCTCTATTAACCCGATTTTTCTAAGCCCGTTATCCTTATTTTTGTTCGTGTCTTGTTGTGTCTCCCTCAACTACTTATTTTACTTGCCGTTGAAAGGTAACATCCTGATTACATGAACAGAAACTAAATACTAAAAATATTAAGTAATTTAGTAAGAACTGTTAAATTTTAATTGAAGAGCTAACCAATAAGACATGAAAATGAGACGATAAATATCACTCTCCAAATAGAGTTGTTTATCACTTGTGGCCTTGTGGGCGTGAAGAGTATTTTGTTCGAAGCATGGAAGATTGTGGATTGTGGGTAGTCCGGGATACCTGTTGTAGCCCATGCTTGAGTTGAGCTTGTCGGTAGCCTATGCTTGGGTAATTGCCATCTTGACTCCCAAAATTGTTCTAGTTTTCGAGCTTTTGATTTTAAACAATTGAATCCCCAACGATTAGAAGACCTATTCCATACTAAAAATAATAGTAAACAACTTATTAATGTCATAGATTAGTAATTTAAATGATATTTCACCCTCAAATTGAACGACAAAAAACAAATAATCGAATTTAGAACTATAAATTATGAAATATTGAAATTGGCTGCGTATCAAAATTGGTATATTTAATGTCTGGGATAACTTACATAAATAGCCGAATTTAGAACTATTTTAAAAACACGTTTATATTTATTAGATGTGTAGTAGATTTATCATGACAATTTCGATTTATTTACCGATGATTTACAACGTAAATAATTTCATGTGCTGGGTAAATAATGGATGATGACCATTTTCGTTGGTTTCCTTCTTGTTTTTTTTTTTTTTTTTTTTTTTTTTTTTTTTTTTTTTTTTTAATATTTACTAATATTTTATTGGAGTATCTGGAGGAATAGGGGCAAAAAATGATTTTTGTCTTTTCTAAAAAAAATCTAGAACAATTTTGCTTCCCCTCTCATGCTCTCTTTAGATATTAACTTTAACAGCGCACAAAATAAAGAAACGGTTAGTTGAGAAGGGAGCATATCCTAATTTTTGAATGCATCATTTTTCAAAGAAATGCCGCAACTCGGAATTTGAATATGACATTTATGTGAAAAGATTTAAATCTAATGTATACATAAAACTTGTACGGGTTGAATGAGTAAGGATCAATTTACTCATGATTTTAATTATGTTATAGTATTTTCCTCTCGTAAATAATTTGAATTTAATAATTTCACACTAATAGTTTTCTCATAAAATTCTTACCGATAAATCGGAATTATTGACTTGTACGCGACGGGCCCTCAAATTTTAAAGTGACACCCAATCCAATTTACACTCCTTCTTTCTCCTCCGTCTGTGGGTTTAAACACTGATGAGATTTGCTCTAATCCAAGGATTTGGTCATTGTGGTAAATGGATTCAATCGGATTTTGTTGGATATGTGATGATTTTTCTAGTTTTTTTATAGATAGTTTCAAAATGTCCCTCCATTTATTGGGTGACTAGTTGCATGGTAAGTGATCAAGAAATTTAGAGGTTGTTCTTTTAGAGTGTAACTTGAGTGTAATTTTTGAGTTGAATTTGAGTTATAATTTGAGTTGAAGTTGTAACTTGAATAAAGTTGAGCAAAGTTGAATAAAGTTAAAACTTAAAAGAACGTAAACTTGAATAAAGTTGAAACTCGAGTTGTCTTTTTTTTGAGTTTTTTAGACAAAAGAACATGCCCCTAATAATTAGCATCAGTGGATAGCTACAACTAATTCGATTGATTGATACCAGACAAATGATTAATTATTGAGCACGATACCAATAAATAACTAGTCACCACCTATATTGACTCTGATCACCGGTGGTCACTAACGTTTGATTTATGAATTAAAATTATGAGATTAAAATTATTTTTGATTTATGTGTATTTTTTGTGAGAGAAAATATTATAGCGAATTACGAATCATGATTCGAATCAGGGTACGAATCCTCCAACTAAACAACACAATTGAGTAAACCCAATCATTAGTGACGATTGTCTTTGTGAACGAGTGACTTCAAAAATTGAAGGTAGAACTAAGGAGGAAAGGAAAGTGCCGAAATCTAGATCTTTATGAATGTAAAGAGGTGAGTATCCATCTAAATTGGCGGAGCCAGAAAAAAATTTCAGAGGGGGCGGAGATTAAAACCAAAGTATTGAACTAAAATGAATTATGAAATATGAGTAAACTTAAAAGTTTATATTTGGGGGGGGGGGGGGGGGGGGGGGGGGCCCCCCCTATCTAATGATCCATTTTCTTCTCTCTATTATCGTTTTAATGCTTATAAAGTAGTAATAATTTCAAGGAAGAAAGAGAGAAATAGTCCAAGATTTAAGATGAATTAAAATTAATATGTCAATAGTTTACATTCATTAATAAATAGGTCAAATTACTGTTTTTGTCTATAACTTGTCTGGTTATGAACCATAACTTGACAAGTTATTGTCCATTTTTGTCCATAACTTGTCCGGCTTTGAATCATAACTTGACAAGTTTATCCCTAACTTATCTGGTTATGAACCATAACTTGACAAGTTATAGCCTATTAATTTCTATAACTAAAAGTTGGCCTATATACTTTTTTAAACTTTTCATATTGGTCTATTTTCTACTATTTCTGTAATTTCAATTAGAACGAGTGATGTTGTAATGCCTATTTAAAACAAAGTTTGAGATTTCGAATCCTTGTCTTTTGCCGCTTGGCTTTTAATTATTTTTCAATATTGTAATAGTAGACCAAATCCTATAAAAAAAAAAACTAAGGGAATTAATCATTTTGACATAATAAAGGTGTCTGATAATCCGGATGAAAATTTCAATCCGAACCGTTTAAAACTTTAAATGGGAGAGGAACGGCATAGCTCAAGCTAATAATAGCGGGTTTTAAGTCGGCGTGTTTAGTCTAGCTCAAATTTACAAATCTAGATAAGAGAAGATAGCGTGTAGACTTAAATGCGGTGGAGACAGATGCAAATAAGAGTTCGAAGCGACCAATCTAGGCATGTCAGGCTTGGGCACGAGGATGTTTATGGGCAATATTTAGATGCGAGGACTTACGCATGATGGATGTCTAAGGGCAACTGACATTACAAAAACCTTGTAATAAATGCGAATAACATAAAATATTGAAATGTTTTCTTTTTCAAAATTGATTTCTTATTTTGTTTTGAGTAATGTCTTTAAAAAAGGATTAAAGCCAAGTAGATACGTTTTAGTTTTTTTAAAACTTAGGGGAAAGAGTATTCGAGCTTACGTTGAAAACACGTCTAAGGTTAGCGATAGGTTTAAGCTCTCATAACCACCGCATATACTTTATACTTATTGCATACCGCTTGCAAATCTAGACATATATAGTAGGACTTTAATTGAACAAAAAGGTTATTAAAGTCTGTATTTTTATAATTTTTAACTTTTAGCGTGTGTTATGCCTAAATTAAGTGGTTAGAACTTAAAACATGACGCGCATGACTTATTTTTAAATGACATATTAGATTTAACTATCGTGTATAAATAATAATAATAAAATTGATACTCATATAAAAAATTGATATATTTATTTTAAAATGTACATTTCTGAATAGTTAGATTTTCATTAAGTTTTATTGATTTTATATATGTCTGTTGATATTAGTAACGCATAAAACTAATATACAATGTTGATAATAGAAATAAAATAAAAAACCCCTAGGATAACACGAAGACAATAAAAAATGGCTTAATTGATGCAATTGATTCTTATCGAATATATATTGTTTTTTTGAAAAGAATCAAATATATTAGTGCCATAGATTAACGGTGAAAATCACGAGACAAAGATTAAGAGCTTAATTCCCCTTAAAAAAAAGAAAAGAAAAACAAAAAGGGGTTAAGGGCTTAACCAACCACAATTTAGCACGCAAGGCAATTGGTCCCCAAAGGTTTTTTTTTTTCCCCCTAAAATTGCATCCTATATAAACAAAACGAAAAGGTGACACTTGACAGTGTTAGAAGAAGAGAAAAAGAGAAAAGAAAACGACTGTCACACACAACAGACACTCGGCAATGGAGGACCCTGATAGGCCACACTAAAAAAATAAAAATAAAAAATCCCAAAACCCTCTTGTGTTTATCATCAATGGCGCTTCCAACTGAACTGCGTTGCTTTTATTTTGGTACGTTTCTTTTTTTTTTTTTTTTTTTTTTTTTCCATTTGGGTTTTCAATCTTCTATCTAGAATATCAATTATGTTTTTGTTAGAATTGATTTTAATGGTTTAATGATGTTGGCACTACATTTTTATTGAGATGTGGGTTCTTTAAAAAATTTTGTGTTTGTACTTGTTTGGCATTGTTTCTTGGTTTTAGCTCACTGGGACCTGATTATAATGTAACTTTCATTTCTGGGTAGGTCTTATTTTGATCAAGTTTAGTTTTTCCTTACAGGGTACAGCTTATTTTTTCCGTTCTTTCATCTCTTCAGGTATGATTATTTTCTTCTTGTTATTTTTTTTAGTATAGTTATGCTTTTTTTTTTTTAACATATTCCCCATGCTTTCCTTGCAAATTTTGTTTTTTGTTCTCCCTTAAGAAAACATAAATGTAAATCTCTGTTTTTTTGTCCTGACTTGTTTGGCTACACAAGGTTTGTGGGTATAGAGTCAAGTGTTGAAGATATTCTGGGATTGTTTTAGTTGATGATATTGGAAGCAAACAAAAGTGTTGTCTACTTGTCTAGTGAAATTGTCTCGTTACTCTAAATGGGGTTGAACCAGTATGAAGAAGAAACGGTGGGAGGGCTTGAACATAAAGATTGGGATGATCCTATTGCAAGTCAGCTTGAAGTTCTACTGTTGGATAATTTGGACTCAGTTTACGGGAGTGCGGTTAAGGAGGTTTCTGAACATGGGTATGGTGAGGAAGTCGCTGTAAAGGCCCTTACGAGGCGGGGGCTTTTTTTAGGTGTTGAAGACCCTGTAAAAAATATTGTAGATGATGCTCTGGCATTTTTGAAGGGAGAGAAGGAAGCTGGTAATTTAATGGAGGATAGGTTTGATGATTTACCGCCCTTGATGGCGTATACACTGCTTGAGATGGTTGGTGTGCTTAGGGAGATCAGGCCATTCTTGTCGGCTGGGGAAGCAATGTGGTGGTTGTTGATATGCGACTTGAACATCTTGCAAGCCTGTAGGTTAGAAGAGGATTCTGTCCGCAAGGATTCCTCGGAAGAGAACTATTCTGGATCTGCATATTCTTCTTTAAAAGCAGAAGCACAAAACTATATAAGTGAAGCATTTAATAGTGCTCTAAAACGTGCGAAACCAAATAGCCCCGACATCCCTGAAGATCTCACCAAAGAGGAAAAGACTTTGATGTCTATGCTTGGCAGACTGGAGAAATGCTTGGGCACTGCTGGGGTTAACGTGCAAGTTAAATCTCAAATATCTGAAGAAGAAAAATCAGGAGCTGTTCGAAAGGCACCCTCCAACAGAGAAATAACTGCACTGCTGCAGAAGCAATTAAACCTGGGGAGAACTTACAAGGGTCACGGGGCAAAGCGTTCATTCAAATCAGGAAGACTTCCAAACGCTAGTGGTATTATTCTTGATAAGAGACTGAAGTATTTACCTGAGACGCCTGGTTTAACTTTGAAATTTGAATCTTCTAATTCAAATGTGGATTCAGGTTGCAAAGTCTCTTTCACATATGACAAACACAATGCTTCAGCCAACAAGCCATCCACTTCGACAAAAACTAGCAGTAAATCATCAAGATTACCTAAGAAAGGAACTTCATCTTCCTTTCCTACATCAGAAACCAAGCTTTTTAAGAAAGTTCCTCCAGGAAAGAAATCTGATTTGAATTCCCTAGTCAAGACCTCTGTGTCTCCTGGGAATGCCGAATATGTTGATGGTATTCCATATCAGAAGTCTTTGGGAAAGTATCTTCCGCGAGATGAGAAGGATGAACTCATCTTGAAGCTAGTTCCTCAGCTTCAGGAATTGCAAAATGAGATACGCTGCTGGACTGAGTGGGCTAATTATAAGATTATGCAGGCTGCTCGTAGGCTTAGTAAAAATCAGCTTGACTTGAAGAGACTGAGGGAAGGAACAGAAGTAGATAAGCAAGCTCAATGGGAGGTCATCGTGAAGAAACTGCCTGGTATGGAAAATGGTTTGAATGATATAATTGCCTTGGTTGAGAATAGTAAAAAGATTATTTCCAGTCTCGAGAAGGAAAATTCCGTGCTGAAGAAAGAGGCGGAAGTTGCCAGATTAAAGGCATTAGAATCAACTACGAGTTACCAGGTAGCATTAGAAAGGGAGCAAAAGGCATGGAAAGAGGTTCAGTCATGGGAAGGGAAGAACGGATTATTGCACAAAGAACTTGCGACGGAGAAAAGGAAGGTGGATACTCTGCAACAGGATTTAGACAAGGCAAAAGATGCCCATCAGCAAATGGAGGTAATACTTCTTTAAATATGCATTATTGTTTACATTTAAAACTGTAATAGGCATCCCAGTT